AATTCTTCAACCCAAAAGCCTGAAGAAGAACTGTTTCAGACTTACTGAGCATCTACAACTCATTATATAAATAGGTATAGGAAAAGTATCAGGTAAATGCAGCAAGAAGAGATGTGGGAAAGGATGGTTAATCCTAAGAAAGGGTAAATAGAGCAATGAATTTAAATTCACATAAATATCTGGTGAAGGATAAAAATCTAAGCAGATTCCAAGAGAAAAGGTGTTAACATTCTCCAGACAAAACCCCCACATTTAAAACTGATTCTTAGTTTCAGAGGCAACTCAGATTTTGGTTTCAAAGGGTGTCAATAGATGTGTTTGTTGGCGTTCTACTTAGAACACATCACAGTAGACTTGATTAATCAAGTCTGCTCTGCATTCTAATTAGAATGCTCCAGTGTCACCTTACCATCATGTGTATTAAGCCCCCCTGCATTTCAAAATGGCCTCAGGAGTGTTTTAACTAAAGCTCACTGAATGAGCTTTAGAGAGAGTGTCCCATGGCTATTTTGAAATGTGCAGGGACTTAATACACATGACTACGACCTGTTTTAATTAGACTGGATGTCTGGTAACCACTCTAATTAAAATGCCCCCCCCCCCCACCCAGCAAAAGGACCTAGGATTAGGACCTAAAAATCTTTTTATTCATTACTTTGAGCATTTACATCACAATCATGGTTAACCTATAAACTGAATTATAAAAAAAAATGAAACTGTGATTAAAACACAAAACACAACAAAGAAACAAAAACCCTACTCTGCACACCATGTCTTTCTGGGAAATTGACAAGGCCTAGTACATTACCCAGCCTTGTTAAGCATGATTGGTAAACTTTTGTCAGCGCGGGTCAAAGCTCAAAACCAGCTATTACTGCAGGCTGCAAGTGTCTGTTCTTTCCTTCGCCACCTCTAAGAAGCCAACTGCCAGATACCTAAATTCTCTGCAGCAATTATAATTTCAGACCTGACAGAGCAGCTAGGTCTGCAGTGAAGGAGGAGATTGTGGAGGGGTTGGGTGGCATGGTGCAGTTCCATACACTAATTCCTTGTGTGGGATGAGGCATCTTTGTGAGCTGGCCTGCAGGCTGTAAGTTGCCAAGCCCTGTCCTTGGCCATTTTGAAGAAAGCATGCAGATCTAATGTGGAGAGAGACTCTATCCCCTATCCCACCCATGCCCACCTTGAGCCCCAGTTCAACAGAAGGCAGAAGATAGCTCTAATTGTTCTTTATGGTTCACTTCTGGCTCATGGTCTTATAGGCTACTTAAAACTTCAATTTAATCTCATGTACAAACACAAAAAAGGACAGGAATAACTTTCTTGCATTAATGGTCCATTCTTTGCATTGCTCAAATTGATTTATTTAGGTCAGAAATCAAAGAGAACTTCATGTCTGCAGCTGGCAGGGTAACCATTAAAGTTTAAAACCTTCATAGGCACTCCAGCTTGAAAATGTTTTACCTGCAATTGTCACAAGTGACAACTAAGATCATTATAACTGAAACAGATAAGAGCATAATACTTTTTGTCAATTTTTTTTGTCAACATGTTTACTTTGTGCATTTGACAAACATTTTGCATATTGACAGTTTCATTGGGTTTTTCTTCTTGGCAGTCATTTAGGCAGTTTTTTTGCCCTGCTGTTTGTGCAGATCTTTCACCTGGCTAAAAGGCAGAAGAAAAATACTGGGGAAGGAAATGTGAATTTTTATTTTTTTTAAACACAAATATTAGCCAGAGGGATCAAAAACAAATGTAGTAACCAACTCTTCTCAGGTTCCTGTCTTGCTTTTCTAATATGGCTGAAGAGAAGATTATGAGAAATGTGGTGAACCTTAACTAAGAAGGAGGGGATGTTTTTTGTTTAGAGTGCTAATCAGAGGATCATTGGATGTTAGGCAATAGAGCAGGTGTGGGCAAAATATGGCATGTGGGCCAGGTCTGGCCTGCTGAGGGATTTTGTCTGTTTTGTGACAGGTCCCTTGGTCTTATCCAGTCCAGGCACAGGGGACAGCACAGGCCATTGTGCATGTGGCCAGTCCCACCACAACCTGGAGCACAGTGGGGCTGGAGTGGTGTGGTAACCGGACTCACTTCCTAGTAGCCCAAGCACTGGTGCTTCTTCCAGATGCCATAGCCACTAAACATGGCACCCACCACCAGGGGCAGGACCCTCACGGGCAGGGTGCACAACAGGGCTGTGGGTGGGTGGGGAGCTGTGTTTAGGACTCGGTCTAAGATCTTGGGGTGGTGACAGCATGGGGTTTGGGATGGGGCATAGCCATGATCTGTTTCCTGTACACCCCTGCAACAGGCACTGGTTCCATGGTCATGTGGGAAGCAGATTGTGGCTGTGCCCCAGCCCCAGCCCCACACTGTCACCACCCCAACTTCCTGGACCTGGCTGTGGACTCAGCTCACCACCTGTCTGCAGCCCCAGCCTGGCTATGGGCCCTTCCCAGGCGGGTCCCAGCCAGTCTCCATGGAGACCCCAGGATCACAGGGCAGTGACAGTATGGGGCCAGAGCCCAGAGCAGAGCCATGCTCTGCTCCCCACATACCCCTCCCACAAAACCAGTGCCCATCACAGAAGTGTGTGGGCAGCAGATCACAGTTCTGCTGCGATGGAGCCAGAGATGGGCAGGGAGAGGCATCCAGGAGTGAGACAGGCAGGTAGATGGGGCTGAGGCTGGGATTGCAGGGTGGTGACAGTGCAGGCCCCATCCATATACTGTCAGCACCCCACAATCCCAGGGTCTCCAGGGAGACTGGCCACTACCCACATGAGCAGGGCATGCAGCCAGGTGGACAGGATGGGGCTACTTAGGGAGTTTTGGTGAGCTGTTGCATGGTCGGGCGGTGTGCTGACCTCACTCAGGACAGCTCATTAAAACTCCCTATATGGCCTATAGGCTCAAATAATTGCCCACCCCTGCAATAAAGTACTGATGACAGAGAAAATGGTATTAGTTCTATGTGACAGTTTATGTTAGATCTTGACCTCCTTTGTTATCATAATGATTTTTTAATAATACAACTTAGGACTTTCTAGCAAGTTTAAAGGAGGCAGATACTCAGCTCTAGTTGAGATCATTTGTCATAATGACATATCTTGTACAAGATTTATTTATTAGCAAAATAATGCTGATATTATGTGTAGCAACCCAAATGTTTAAATTTAAAAAATGTAGATACAGCCAGGCTAACTTAACAAAATTGTTAGGTAACCTAAAAATCTGTCCACTGAACTAGTCTTACAATCTAGTGGAAGTGTAGTTCAAGTTCTTATATCTCTGGATCACTGCCAATGAGAGCACAGTGGCTTTGATAAAATAGGAATCTGCCTCAACCTTCATTTCTGATCCCTCATACCAAACCAATCTGGGACCTTTAACAATTTAACAAAAATAAAAACATCCCTGTTAATTATTTGTTAACATTTATCCTAGTCTGCACTTTCAAGATGAATGTCAGATACAGTGGCATGATTAGGGTGTGGCAACAGCAGCAATTGCCCTGGGTACTGTTGGGGCTAGGGAGTTGAAAAAAATGCTTTTATCTCAGCTTTATGATTGCAGTGGCAGCAGAAACCAGAAGTCACCATTGCCTCTGTGTGCAGCAGCTACCCCAGGCTCTTGGCCGTATTTTTATCCTGCTGATCAGAGAAGCATATACATGCAGAATTTCCAGTCAAGTCTCAAAGCAAGCAGAACAAGTATCTCATGAAAAGAGAATCTCCACTGATTTATGTCCAGTTCTTGTGTTACAGAGCCCAGAGGCTTCAGACGAGGCTAAGCATTTACATAGGGGCTGTACCAATACTGCTGACAGCATGCCAGCTACTTTCAGACTGTAAATGAAGAAACAGATGGTCCAGAATCACAAATTTCAGACCTGGAAGCAGACTTTGCTAAAGAGGGCTTTGAATCCACAGATTTGGTCTGAGTCCATTTTATATTTATCTAATGATATAAATCCATTGTATTTCATTTTTTGGTTCCATATATCAATGAAAGAAAATATCAGTTTGACTGAAGGTATCAAGCAAACCAGCAAGGTGCAACATTTCAGTTGAGAGGTTACTGAGTTTTTTCACTGACTTGCAGGATGAGTCACATAATCAGATATTTAATTAAATATATCAATATTACATCATTCTCTGATATTTAGGATATAAGGTATCAAAAATTTCCCAGAAAAGAATTTGCTTAGGACCTCCAGCCTTATATAGTTTGTATACTCTGCATGAGTATACCCTGCATAAGTACCGACTGAAGCCTGGTCAGGAGTAGTTTCTGGAGTGGGTGAGCTCTTTGATCTTTGGACTCCAATATCTGGCTTTTGGCACATTTCACTTTGTGGCCACCTTGGAGAGCTACTTCCTGGCTTAGCTGCTAGAGACTGACTAACTCTTCAAAGAGATGGAGCACATGCCAAGTCATATCTTTAAAAAAACAGCATTTATTATGCCTCTCAGGTTTCTCTTGTCCTGCCTTTCTCTTTCCCCCTGTGTCTTGGGGGTTCTCCTTTTTAAGACTGTCTATTTGCACTGTGGCTTCTAAGTCCCGCCTTGGCACCAGAAACAGAAGGAAGTTTCCAGATTCTGGGACTTGAATCCACAGGTGGATCAACACATCCATTGGTGGGTGCATTGTTGGTTTGATAGCCCATTCCCCCAGGGGAAAGATTGTCACAGGTCTGCTTCAAAACACTGCTAACTCACTGTTTAATTATGTAAAAGCTAGAAATATTACAAAGAGTACCACAGCCTGTCACAAAAAGTACCTCTAACACTGTAATGCAACTAATTGCTGTCAAATACATGTCATCATTTTAACTACAATTTTCTATTAGGCATGTATTATTCAGTTCCACCTTTTTAGTAAAGTTTTTATATTAAGAAAATATTACTGCTGTTCCTCTCTTTTTGATATCCATATAATGCCTAATATATTTTGCTTTTAATGTGTTAATTGCTTTTATTCTCTGTTCCACAGTATTCAAAGACAAATAGGCATTCTAGACCTGGGATGGATAAAGTTATGGAGTCTAGTTTTTCAGGCACTCAATCTTTCTCAGAAGCCTTGTCACCTGATAGAGGAAGCCAGCCTATCAAGCAACATAGGTAAGCAAATGGCTCTCAGACCAGAAAATTGGCAGGCAGAGATGTCCTGATTTAGTGATATATGCAAGATTATTGTGCATTGTGCCTGGGGAGGCATTCAAGGCTATATGGTAGTAACATAGATTCATAGATTCATAGATTAAGGGTAACATAGCCCCAGCCCATTCAGTAAGCAGATGTCTAAGCATTTCCTTTGCTGATGACATAAAAAAAATTATGATGATCACTGCCTATAATCTACCTTTTGTAGAATGCCTAGAGGAAGTATTAAAAGACACCATCGGAGCTGTAGACACAGAGCAGTGAATGAAACAATTGTACTTTCAGAAACCATTAAAAAACAAGATTTTTTCCTGTCTTGCTTTATGCAGTTTGTGAAATTAATGATTCATTCTCCTACTGGCAGACTCTGTTACAAACTTTCAACCTTTCTCACTGTTTCTTTAAATAAACAGCATTCCAAATGAAAAATGACTACTTTCTGTGTATATTTATGACTTTGTAATAGCCAGCAATTAAAAAAAAATAGCTTTATAAAAGTTTAGATACAAAATGTTTCCAAGGCTAGAGGGTAGAAATTACTTCTAAACATGGATAACAAATGGTATTTGAATCTGATTTTTTTAACTGTTTCATTTTTTTTGTTATGACAATTGTATGTTCTAGATAGGGGAAAAAGGGGTCAAATTCATGCCAGGTATAAATCAAGTTGTGGCAATATCCGGTCACAAAATATGGCTGATTTTCCACAAGAAACTACTGGTATTATGATTTTTAAAAATGAAATGGCTGAGAACAATGTAACTCATAATATTTGGTATATATCAAAAGACATTTCCATTCCAGCCACTTGTCAGCAACATTTTTCTTGTATTCTGTATGATACATTTGCTTAACCTTCCAAAACAAGGGCATTTTGTAAGGCAGTAAGGTACATTTGGGTCTCCTTATATTTCCTTTTGTCAAGCCTTTGACTTCTTTGTAAAAAAGAATGGCCAGTCTTATATAAAATTCACTCAATAGAGCACCAATTTCACTGTATTTGATTGTTTGCTCAAGTGATTCTGTTAATATCCTGGAATAGGGAAATGATGCCTAGAACTTTTTTCCAGTGGAAGTTTTTTATCTCAGAGGGTGCATCCAGATGCGACCCATCTGTAATGCCGCATGCCGCATGAGCCACACATGCAGTCATTCCCCTTACTGATAATTTGCAATATGAGGGGAGGAGTGGGCTGACACTGGGAAGTGCCAGTGTCAAAAAAAAAACCAAAAAAAACCCATGACTAAAAAAAGCAGGATGGTTCCTGTGACAGCAGTGTGCACTGCCTGAAACTAGAGTCTGGCAGACTGGAGCAATGCTCTAGCTGCTGGCCAGGCTCCGTGTTGCTGGATCACAGAGGATACAGCCTACACAGGCCCCAAGGACCCCAGGTAAGGCTGCCGGCGTCTCTCAGGTGCCAGCCCTGCCTCCTGTACCTTATCGGGGGCAATGTGCCACGCAACAGAGTGTGTGTGCATGGCCATTCCCCAGGCAGGGACAAGTAGGAGTGGCATGTTGTGATGCTGCTGTTTGTCCCTGGGAAAATGCATGTTTCCACTTACAGAGACGTGGCCATTCTGGTCAAAAAGAAAAGCTTCTTTCTAATCCTTTAAATGCCAAGTACGTTAACTCAAAGAGGCCTTCATCTTCATATATAAACATATATAATCATACTACAAGTAAAGATTTCTGTAGATTCTATCTTTTATTGAACCAAACGAATAGTTGGGAGGGACACAGATGTTAGGTGAGACCTGAGGGAGGGTGCATGGTACCTGAAAGCTTGTCTAAGTCCCTTCTAAATATGCAGTTGGACCAATAAAAGACAGACAGTTCCCACAAAAAAAAAAGTGCCTCACATTTTTCCTGGATCATCATAGCTACATCACCCCAACACTAAAATTACAAATCTTTTTAATTGATCAAACTGTCTGAATTTTATTTTACTCAGGTGATAAATAATGACTTAATAAAATCCTCAGAAACTTTTAAACCTCCAAATATTACCCAAATTTATAAAAGTTCTTTAAATAAAAATCTAATATGAACTTGAGACCATGTACTTTTTCTTCTGTAGGAAACTCATTGTGTAGGTCACCCTTAGTAGAACTTACCGCAGATGTTCTAGTTCTAAAGTTTGAAGGACCATCACTGATTCTTTTTCCCATATCTCTGGGATTTTATTGAAAGAAAAATGGGTTCCAGTTCCTTATTTGGAGGGTATCAGCCAGTATACTATATTCATATTTCTTACTTCAAAGATGTATTTTGCACTAATTAATGGTTTTATCTGGATTCATAAACAATTGCTTTTATAATTTTATAATTCAAGATTTAATATATCAAGGCTTTGTTTTATAAAACATGCAGTGTTAATGATTTATAATCCCATCATTGATTTATGCATCCTGCAACTTCTTTATAAGCTGTCATGGGTTTACAAGTACTGTTTAGCTCAGTGATGTTCAACATATGCGCTGCAGCCTGGATCTAGTCCCCAAAGTGCCTGGATCCAGCCGATTGCATGGAGAATCATCAGAAAACATTTAAACCCACTGCATCTCCTTCCCTGCTTTCTGCTGTGCTTTGGATCCCCTCCACAGGCCTCCTTGCTTTCTCCCTCTCTCCTCTCCTGTAGCAGCTTACTGTCCCTCCCCACACTTCCCCTTGGCATGTACTGCCAACTGAAGGTAACCTTTCTCCTTCTCTCCCCACCCTCTCTCCCTGTCTTCTCCCTCTACGTTTTTTGCAGCCACCTCCCTCTCTCCCTGTCTTCTCCCTCTAAGTTTTTTGCAGCCACCTCCCTCTCTCCTTCTCCTCTCCGCTATGGGAGGAGAGTAGTGGCCCACATTGCACCTGGATTGCTAACACACTGCCCATTGCTCTAGAAGGTTAAATTCCACTGGTGTAGCTGATTGATTAGTCATCTGACTTTTTATTTGGTCTCTTCCTTATCCTAATCCTTACAGATTGCAGACGTGTTATTATTAACTCTTGCACATTATATGCTGAATTTAGGAAACTCATTTTTAATTACTAGGACTAAATATTTGTCCAAACAGTCACTTCAGGACAAGTATTTGATTTCTCTGTTCCAAACAAAACAGTGGCCTAAGCCCACAGGTTAGCAAAACACTTAAGCACACAGTTAACTCTGGATTTTCCCATGCTTCAGTAGGTTCCAGGGAAGATGGGACTGAGTGCATCTGTTCTACCTGAGTCTGGTGATACACCCCAGACCCACAGGTTTGCCAATGAGGCTGCCCCAGGTGCTCCCTAATGCCTATTTCCAGGCCGACTGGAGAATTGGGGCTCAAAAGCAGGCACTGAGGATTAGCCTGGCAAACTCGCTGATATAATTCCAACTCTGGAGCATGTCAGAAGCTTGGGTAGGCAGAGCAAGCTCCCCACTTGTCTTCTGGAACATGCTGTTGTTACCATATAGAAAAGATTATTCATTACCACAATTTGGTGTTAGCTAAAATTCTCTGCCACACTTTCAGGAGGTGCAACCCAAGGGAAAATAGGTCAAAAGTGATTTTACATCATGTTCTTGTCATCAGCTACATGTTTGCCATCCAGAACAGACCTGAGAATGCTATACAGGCCACTGGGCATTCCAGAGCAGGACAATATCTTTCCAGCACTCATTGTACTGTGATGACCTTCTGCTTCCCAGTGACATGTTTCCTTACATACTCAGAATGTTTCCCCCCTGAGATTTTCAAGTAAGCTTATGCAGAGCCAATACTTTTTTGAAATCATTGGCTGTCTACTCCCAGTTGCTCAAACTGGCTAAGCTTTGGTGCTACAGTAAAACTACCAATGTAGAAAACAGTTGCTGCTGCTTGTGATAGTATTCTGTTTTTAGTCATTATGAACGTGTCCACTAGAAATGTGAATGGCAGAACTGCTCATTTCACTTAGGCTGCTGAACAGCTTAAGATAATAACAGTATTCTACTGGTACCAGTCTACATGTGAACAGTTATGTAGAGATGAAAGGCTCTATATAAATCCTGCTTCTAAAATATTCTATCTGTTTTATAGGCTTGTGTCTTACAGGCTTATTAGAACTTTATATCATAGGTTTGCCTATGTGAAGCAACTCTACCCTCTGGCAGAACTGGAGAAGCACAAGTACATTCCCCATAAAATGTGAAATCCGTTGCTGGTTCATGCAGACTGTGTTCTAGTTATATTACCAAAAATCAAGCTCTCATTTATACAGGTGGGACAAGTTACCATTTCCCTATATGTGAGGCTGAATTCTAATCTTGTCACTCATGCTGAGTAGTGGTTTTCTCTTCTAGTACTACTGATTTCAATTAACCAATCCATTCATAATTATTTTCATATGAATTGATTTAAGAGAATATTACTACAAGGTCCAAATAATGGGTCTGAATCTAGCTTCAAGTTATCATGCCATTCAGTAAAAAAAGGAAATTATTCTTAAGATCTAAAATGGACATATGCTTTCATTTTTAAATAGGGCTATAATATTTTTTTCTGACAAGAAAAAATTCTTTCTTTTAAGGCTTCATAAGCATTTTACTTATTAAGTAATTGCAAATTAATTTGGTTTAAGTTTAAAGGAAGGGTAAACAAAACACCTCAGTAACTAGGGGGTTTTATTAAAAAAATAACAAAGTTTAATAGTGTAAGGAAACTATCTTGTGAGGTAACTGGACTGAAGAATTTAGCAACTTTTATAAGGAGGAGGCCTAGAATTACTTTAAGTCAAAAGTCCAAAACAATCTGGAAACTGATTCTCCTAAGCAAACAGAAAAAAGCTTACAGGAAATTATTCATTTAGGCCTAATTGAATGAACAGCTATCTCAAGACGGGCAATAGGCATAAGCACAGAACATACAAAGAATGAGAAAAGGACTGGTCAGCAAAGAAAGCTCTGG